AATCATGACACTCCACCACACACCTATTAGAATGGCTTAGCTGAAAATTAGTAGCAATACCAAATGCTGGTGAAGATGCAGTGCATTTGGAACTCTTAGATTGCTAGTGAGAATTATAAAGGTATAGCATGGTAGAAAAGTCTGGCAGTTTCTTAAGACACTAAATAAATACTTCCCATACAACTGAGAAATCCTCAATCTTTACTCATGAGAAATGAAAACAAATGTATACATAAAGACATGTACTCAAATGTTCATAGCAGCTTTATTCATAATAGCCACAAACTGGAAACAACCCAAATGTCCTCAGCCAGTGAATGGATAAACAACTTACTACATACAATGGCATACTACTCATGATGTAAACGAGCAAAGTACTGATACAGACAACAAGATGCATAAATCTCAAAAGCACTGTGTTAAGTGGGAAAAGGCCACACAAAATACTACATAGTATATGATTCAATTTATGTGGAATTCTGCAAAGGCAAAAAACCTAGAGGATCAGATCAGCAGTTGCCAGATCTGGGATAAAAGGAAGGGAGTGACTTCAAAGAAACATGAGAGAACTTTATAGGGTGATGGGAATATTGTATATCTTGATAGTGGAGGAAGTTACATGACTATATATGTTTGTCAGACCTCAGAACTACATACCTGAGACAAGATGGTGGCAGCATCTATGCAGGGTGCGGGGACTGGTGCTGGCGGTGGTCCCAGCTGCAGGACAGGCAGTAGCCACAGAGACGTGGGGGACAAGTGGAAGGTTGATGATAAGCCTGTAAAAATTAACAAATGGGATGGATCAGCTGTGAAGGATTCTTTGGGTGATTCTACCAAAAAGGTACTTCTGGAAAAGTACAAGTATGTGGAGAATTTTGGTCTGACTGACAGTCACTTCACTCTGTGCCATCTCCTGTTTCTTTGCCATAGTGGCTTTGATTTGGGATTATATGCACCCCTTTCCAGAATCTAAGCCTGTTTTTGGCTTTGTGTGTCATATCCTATTTTGAGATGATGGGGTTCCTGACCATTTATCCTCATATAAGGATGAGTAAGGCCCACAGGAAAGATCCTGTAGGAATGGATCCTGATGATATTTGGCAACTGTCCTCCAGTCTCAAAAGGTTAGATGACAAATACACTCTGAAGTTGACTTTCATGAGTGGAAGAACAAAGCAGCAGTGAGAGTCCGAGTACACCAAGTCCACTGCTAAGTTTTTTGACCATAGCGTGACACTGGTCATGGAAGCATCTATGGTCTCCAGGATCAGTTAAGCAAAAGCTCTGTGTGATATCAGGAATTTCCTTACTCAACTCTTCACTGTCCAGACTCCATGCATATGAGCCTGAAATATCCAGGCTCCATGACATTCTTGCCACAGAAAGAAAAATAAAGCGGTGCCTGGGTGGCTCAGTTGGTTAAGCATCTGCCTTCGACTCCTGCCTTCTCAGCGGGAGTTTGCTTCTCCCTCTGCCTGCCATTTTTCTTGCTTGTGCTCTCTCTTTCTCGCTCTCTCTCAAATAAATAAATAAAATCTTTTTTAAAAAAAAGAAAAACAAAATAGCCAATTCTAAAAGCAGCTGTCTTTCTGCTGGATGATGCTGAATTTCAGGGTGAGGGAGAAGGAAACAGAGAACCTAAAATGGATAAATAAGATATGTTAAAAATGGCCCTGTCTTGTCCTGAACTTTTAGTCCATTCTGGATAGAATCTTCTAGTTCAGATATGAGAAGTTGTAGTTCTGATATCTAACTTTAGCGTTCTTGGTCTTCTGATTGCATTGTTTTGATTTGCTTTTCCAGAAAAGCATTTTTTGCTGGCAGCCCTACAGACTTCCTCCTTCATACCTAGCAGTACTTTATATCCTATAGCTTTGTGGCATACAGCATTTGAAGACTCAGTTTTAAAAATTTTAACCTGTTGCTGACTTTCTTGTGTTAATTCCTGTTTTAACAACCATTTCCCTTAATTTGGGATACAACTTCTTGTGTATGACAGCTTTCCTTAACACACCATTTTTGTGGGTGTGTATATATCTGACTTGGGGAGAATTGGGAAAAAAAACCAACACAGCTTTTTCATTTGTTTAAAACAGACTTTCTGCCTGTTACATTTTGTGATCTTAACCAATTAAAGAAGCCAGGGTCATTTTTAGTTTTATTCTATGTTTTCCACTACTATATCCCTGTTGATTTGTTCGTGCCCTTTATTAACTGCCATTTTCTAAATTTCTTTTTTAATAAAAGGAAAGAAGATGTAAAAAAAAAAAAAAAAAACAGAACTACATGCCTAAAATGGATTAATTTAAAAAATACTTCCCCCCCCAAATGACTTCTCCTTCAGTGTTCTCTAAGTCAGGAACTGGTTCCACCTTCCAGTAAGGTCCCCAACCCTGATAACCTGGGTGATAATCTATTTTTCTCTTTGACCTCAGCAAAACAAGCAGTGGCAAAGTCAAACAAACTGTTCCTCCTTGAAAACTCCTGGATCTCCCTTCAGCTCTGCATCCCCACTGTTTCTTTTTTGTCCACACCATGATCCCCCCTTGCCTGGATTACTGTGACAGCCCTGATAGGCCTCTCTGATCCTGGCGTTGCGCCTTCCACTGCTGCCGATGGACCTATCAGAAAGGCACTCTTCTTCATGGCATTCTCCTGCTTGGAAATGTTCAGTATTTCCTATTCATTGCATATGGGATTAACACCACCTTCTATTCACAACTGACCCTTGTTTAGTTTTTCATTCTTATTTACCATCACCCTCCCATAAACTCCCTGTGCATTTTAACCTCACAGTCCTTGCTCAGTTTGCGTGAAGCATCTATGGTCTCCAGGATCAGTTAAGCAAAAGCTCTGTGTGATATCAGGAATTCCCTTACTCAACTCTTCACTGTCCAGACTCCATTCAAGCATGCCATCACTCTGGAAGGGCTTCCCTGAAATCTCTGTTTGGGCAACACACCCTTCTGTGTGTCTCCATGGCACCCCATGCATGCCTTGAACATAGAACTTGCCGAATTGCATATTGTAAGGCTGAGCTTATTGGATGCAGGTTGGTTATTTTTCATTCACTTATGCCAAGAACTCAGCAGAGTTCCTATTTTATAGTTGAACCAAATTTTGTTGGGCAAGTGTTCAATAGAAACATCCACAAGACAGAATTCCTAGACACAAAGGAACCCTCTTGGAATGGGTCTGTTAGGCTGATGGAGTGGGCCTTACCTGAAGTTTTGGATTCCCTGGTGTTGGTACCCACCCTGTCACCACACAGGCTCCCAGGACCTCACTCCTTGCATCTGCTACCCAGCAATGCTGTTCTTCCAAGCAGCTCCCAAGCCTTTCCCTACATCCAGGCCCACAAGGATTTTCTCTGACCCAAGTTATTTCAGGCCAGTGGTCCATAAATTATGGACTGGAACTATTGCAGAGTTTCTTGAGGGGGATTGTTAGAGAAATAAACAGGATGTTTCAATAGGGAAAGTAGGAGGGTGGTGAACAATTTGATTCCACTCCAAATATAGAATAGTTTTTATCTGGTAGTCTGATCAACCCCAAATGTTAACTTGAAGGGTAGCATATAAAGGGGTCTATTTTCAACATTTGTTGCCTGTGAGCAGCCCCCTTTAGTGCTATTAAGGATTATGTGCCCTCATGAAGGAGAGAAGTAAAGCAAAGAATGTGCTTATGTCTTCAGGAAATGCTAACTGAGTAGACTGCAAGTTAACTTCCCAGCTTTCTCTTCCCCAGTCAACTCACTTCTCCCCTAATAGGCAAAAGGCTCTGACTCCTGAGGAAATGCATGTGTAAGTAGGTGACTTTGATGCAAGGCAAGAACAGGGCTTCGTCCTGGATAAAGGTCGATTGGGAAGATAAATGCTCCCTCCGTGTCCATACTTCACACCAGTGAATAGAGTGATAGTCAACCTGTTTATTTTCTAGCAAAGGGGACGTCGCCATGTGACATGTGAAGAAAGAGCCTGCATTTAGCTCCCAGATATTTGACCCTGTCCTTCTGAGAGCTACCAGGCATATTTCAAGTCTAAATCCACAGGAGAGCGTTTCCAGAGCACATGGCCAAGCATTTAGATAGAGATGAGGAAACAACCTGAACAGAGACGCATTAAGGAAATCCAATTCCATGACCTTCATCTGTGTCAAGTACAACACCCACATCTCATGTCATTTTTTGGTAATGCGACTTGACTGTCATTTTTCTTTTAATTTTTCTTCTCACCATACTGCCTAGTAGTTTCTATCAAGTTCCTACCTTAGGAGTTCCTCTAGGAAGCACACAATTAATCTTTTATAGACCTATTCACCTAGGCTGGAAGGTAGTTTCTTTACAACATTGTCATTCCTCTGAACCCAGAATCCCCCTGGGGTGCATGTTTGTTGAGCCAGGGTCCTAGCTGAAAGGAATGATGGGTTCAGTACAGCTCAGGAAAACACTTAGAGCTATTTGGTTTCAATTCAGAGGGGGTGGTTTTCAGAGATGGAGTTAATGACTGGTCAAAGTTTATTTTGTTTATAGAAATCTTGACTCTCTGTGTGTCTGTCTGCATTTGTATGAGGGGCCACGTGCCCTTGTGAGGTGGGGGATGGGCACTCTCACTCTCAGCCAGAACAAAATTGTGTTGTAGAGTCAGGGCTTCCTAAGTTGTTGTTGTTAAATAGCAGAAATCTATTGTCAAAATCTCATAAGAAAGCTACATATTTAACATTGGTAAGTATTTTGGTAAATTTATAGTAATTTGGTAAATTGGTAAGTATTTTAGTAGCAAAAGCAAGTTGAATACTTGATAGCCAGTTAATCAGTGAAAGCAGGGAAGTATATTTGAGGAACAGAGAAAGTTGAAAGTGCTAGTGATTGATGACAATTGCAAACTTAGCAGTTTTAGCATCTACTTTATTTCTTTTTTTAATATTTAGGTTGTAATGTATCAAGAAAAGCTAGATTTACATAGGTTAGTAATTGTAAATTCTACATTTTTTAACAGCTTACCGTATAATCTCAGAATACTCTTCAATTAAAAGGCCAGAGAAACTTCATCCTGAGGGCTCAGTAAAAAAGAAGTTACCTGAAACCTTCATTGAACACATTGGTATTTTCCTTTATGTTAAAATTTGGGAGCTAACACATTTGCATGTCAACATGCTTTACAACAGTCTGACAGATAATTGAGAGTTCTGGTGCTGCGGCATATGGAGTTAGCACACTCTACCCTGTCTCTGCCACTAAAAGCAGCAAGAAATCCTGGACAGGACACATGAAACATCTATTTGAAGACTCTGAAAAGTAAATGGTAGCAGGCAGATTGGGAAAGGAGACCAGAATTTGAAGTTCTACTACACTGATGGTGAGGGAGTCTCTCTCTCTCTCTCTCTCTTTTTTAAGATTTTATTTTTAAGCAGTCTCTACATCCAACCTGGGGCTTGAACTCATAACCCCGAGATCGAGAGTTGCAAGCTTCACAGACTGAACCAGCCAGAGGCCCCAAGGAAGTTTCTCTTTTTGTTTTCCTCTGATGTCACCTGATTCTGACTCAAACGCAGCCCCAAACCTGGAGGCGCCCACTGGGTATGGAAACAAAGACTGAAGAGAACTCTTCCTCTTTGTCTGAGGAGCAGGGAAAGGGCTCCTTCAGGTCAGAAAAAGTGGGAGGCATCTTTTGGATTTTCCCTATTCTTCCATGTCCTATCTCTAGGCAGCACCATGAAAATAGTGGTGACCAGACAGGAGCCTGAAATTCTAAGGGGGGGGAATCCTTTCTGACCAGAATACCTGGGGTCCCAAGAGTATGGAGTGAATCTCCATTGATGATATTTTTTCGCTCCTGTGCTCTCACTGCTTGGCCCTACTTTCAGACACAATTGTGGGAAGTTTACAGCAGAGCAGGGAAACAAAAATCCCAGCTTTCTAGTTGCAGGACCAGGGAGAGAGGCCACAGAAGCCAGAAAGTATTGGGGAGATCATGGAGAGAAAGGAGGTCAAGAGAATAATCTCATAAGTTTGTATATGAATTTTTGGGTTCACTTCTGAACTACACATGCATGAATCTGATTCTAAAAAGCATACCATAGGCTTTGAGAACCAAGCTACAGGCTAAATCATCATCATGTTGCCAGACTGGCTATTCTGGCAACATACACAGGATAAATCTAGATAGCACAACATTTTGAAACTTGAATTGACATTGAAGTCATAGCCCATGGAAGGCAGATGAGAACTTGCCGAGTGAATCTAACCTAGGTGATTGCTTCCTAAAACAAAAATCATCATTCTTCTTAGGATTTATACAAACCTGGAGTCTTAAAGCAAAATATTCAAGATGTCTAGGGTACAATGCAAATTTACTCAGCATTTGAAGAACCAGGAAAAATTAAACATTTAAGAGGAAAGATAATCAGCAGAGTTCAACCTTAAGAAGGCACAGATGTTGGAATTATCAGACAGAGTTAGTATAATTGCACTTAGAGAAATAAGGTCAAACATTCTTGAAATCAAAAAAAAGAATGTTTCAGCAAAGAAATAAAAGACATAAAGAAGAACCAAAAGGGAGATGAGTGAAATAGATAAAAGGGATTAAGAGATACAAACTTCCAGTTATAAAATAAACATGTCACAGAGATGAGAGGCACAGCACAGGGAATATAGTCGGTAATATTGTATTAATGTTGTTTGGTGGCAGTTGGTGACTGCACTCGTGATGAGTAATGAATAATGTATAGGATTGTTGAATCATTATGTTGTACACCTGAAAATGATAAAGCATTGTATATTAACTATATTTTAATAAAATTTTTTAAATAAAAAACCAAAAAGAAATTAAGAAGTGAAAAATACAATATCCAAAATTAAAAAAAAAAAATCACTGGATGGGCTCAATAAGAGAATGAAGATGACAGAGAAAAAAACCAGTGAGCTTGTTGATAGATCACTAGAAATTATCCAATCTGAACAACACAGAGAAAAAAGATTGAAAAAAAATAAATAAATAAACAGCCTCAGGAGCCTATAGGATAAATATAAAAAATGAGATTTGGAAAACTTATGTGCTGATCAAAGACATTTATATGCATTAAGTCTAAACCAGTTGTTACAAGCTGGGGAAAAGCTTTCCTTTACTTGAGGAGTTGGTAGGTTATTGCATAAAGACAGTAAGAAAAATGTAGCCTATCACTGCATGTTTCCCATCATTTTGGTTTCCAGGAAACGGAGTTAAATTCCAGGCCCAACTATTACCACAAGTTGCGAACCTTCCAGACAGATTTTCATTATTTATTTCTAGTGCAAAGGCAAAGAAATAAATAAAAGGGATCCAACTAGAAAAGAACAAGCCAAACTGTTGCTATTGACAGATGGCATGATTGTCTTCATAGAAAATGTATGGAATCTAAAAATTATACTAGAACTAATAAATAAGTTCATTTAGCAGGATTGATGAATACAAGGTCAATATAAAAAATCAATTGTATTTCTAAATATTAGTAATGACCAATCAGAGAATGAAAATTTTTTAAAAATCAGTATAACTTATAAGAGCATCAGAAACTACAGATACCTAGGAATAACTTTAAGGAAAGATGTGAAAGACCTCCAAAAGAAACACTGCAAAAACATTGCTGAGGACAGAACAAATTGAAAAAAAAAAGTTACATTGCATTCATTTTGGTTTTTAAATGTTGAACCAATCTTGCCTTCCTTGTAGAAAACCCTCAGTCATGAAATGTCAACTTTTTATGTAATTTTGAATTCGATTTCTTAAAATTTCATTGAGAATTTTTGCTTTATGTTCATGAGGATATTATCTGTGCTTTTCTTATGAGACTCATGTTTTGATATCAGGCATATGCTAATCTCATAAAATGGTTTGGGAAATTTTCAATCCTCTATTTGCCAAAAAGAAGTTGTGTATGATTGGTATTATTTATTCTTTAACCTGAGAAGGCTGTCTGGACTGGGTTTTTTATTGTAAGATTTACAATTATTAAACTAATTTCTTAAATCAAGGGCTATTCATATTATTTGCATCTTCATGTGTCAGTTATGCTAATTTGTATCCTTAGCATTGGCCCATTTCATCTGGTTTGTCAACTTTATTGGTAAAAACTTGCTCATAGTATTCCATTTGGTTTTTTTAATGTATCTCTAGTGATGTCAGCTCTTTAATTCCTACTTTATTCTTTTATTTTTGCTCAATCTCATTAAAGGGATTATATAATTTCAAAGAACTCTTTTGTTTACATTTGTTACATTGTTTATCTCTTTTCTATTTCATTGACTTCTGCTTTACTCTTTTTTTTCCCCATCATTTTGCTTATGTTGGTTTAAAATTGCTCTTCTCTGTTTAGCTTCTTGAGGAAGAAGTTTAGATTATTGGTTTTGTATTTCCCCCCGCTTCGAACTATACATTTACCTCTAAGCACTGCTTTGTTTATATCCCACAAATTTTCATCTGATATGTTTTTATTACCACTCAGTTTTATGTATTTTAAATTTTCCTTTGTGATTTCTTCTTTGACCTATTAGTTATTTAGGAGTGTTTGGCTTCATTTCCAAATATTTGAGGATTTTCCATATATTTTATTACTGTTTTTCTAGTTCAAGGCCATTGTGTTCAGAGACCGTACTCTATGATTTCAGTTTTCTTCAATTTACTGAGCCATGTTTTATAGCTTAGTATACAGTCTTCTTTGGTGAATTCTTAACACATTGACTTGTAAAGAGGGTGTGTTCTGCTGCTGGGTGGGTATAGGGTTCTCTAAATATCATTAGGTTAAATTACTTGATAATGTTGCTCAAATTTCTTTTTTATTGTTATGTTAATCACCATACATTACATCATTAGTTTTAGATGTAGTGTTCCATGATTCATTGTTTGTGCATAACACCCAGTGCTCCATGTAGAACGTGCCCTCTTTAATACCCATCACCAGGCTAACCCATCCTCCCACCCCCCTCCCCTCTAGAACCCTCAGTTTGTTTTTCAGAGTCCATGATCTCTCATGGTTCGTCTCCCCCTCCGATTTCCCCCCCTTCATTCTTCCCTTCCTGCTATCTTCTTCTTTTTTTTTTTTTCTTAACATATATTGCATTATTTGTTTCAGAGGTACAGATCTGTGATTCAACAGTCTTGCACAATTCACAGCGCTCACCATAGCACATACCCTCCCCAGTATCTATCACCCAGCCGCCCCGTCCCTCCCACCCCACCCCCCACTCCAGCAACCCTCAGTTTGTTTCCTGCAATTAAGAATTCCTCATATCAGTGAGGTCATATGATACATGTCTTTCTCTGTTTGACTTATTTCGCTCAGCATAACACCCTCCAGTTCCATCCAACTCGTTGCAAATGGCAAGATCTCATTCCTTTTGATGGCTGCATAATATTCCATTGTATATATAGACCACCTCTTCTTTATCCATTCATCTGTCGATGGACATCTTGGCTCTTTCCACAGTTTGGCTATTGTGGACATTGCTGCTATAAACATCGGGGTGCACGTACCCCTTCGGGTCCCTACTTTTGTATCTTTGGGGTAAATACCCAGTAGTACAATTGCTGGATCATATGGTAGCTCTATTTTCAACTTTTTGAGGAACCTCCATACAGTTTTCCAGAGTGGCTGCACCAGCTTGCATTCCCACCAACAGTGTAGGAGGGTTCCCCTTTCTCCGCATCCCCGCCAACATCTGTCGTTTCCTGACTTGTTAATTTTAGCCATTCTGACTGGTGTGAGGTGGTATCTCATTGAGGTTTTGATTTGGATTTCCCTGATGCCGAGCGATATTGAGCACTTTTTCATGTGTCTGTTGGCCATTTGGATGTCTTCTTCGGAAAAATGTCTGTTCATGTCTTCTGCCCATTTCTTGATTGGATTCTTTGTTCTTTGGGTGTTGAGTTTGATAAGTTCTTTATAGATTTTGGACACTAGCCCTTTATCTGATATGTCATTTGCAAATATCTTCTCCCATTCTGTCGATTGTCTTTTGGTTTTGTTGACTGTTTCCTTTGCTTTGCAAAAGCTTTTTATCTTGATGAAGTCCCAATAGTTCATTTTTGCCCTTGCTTCCCTTGCCTTTGGCTATGTTTCTAGGAAGAGGTTGCTGCCTGTGTTCTCCTTTAGGATTTTGATGGACTCCTGTCTCACTTTTAGGTCTTTCAACCATTTGGAGTCTATTTTTCTGTGTGGTGTAAGGAAATGGTCCAGTTTCATTCTTCTGCATGTGGCTATCCAATTTTCCCAACACCATTTGTTGAAGAGACTGTCTTTTTTCCATTGGACATTCTTTCCTGCTTTGTCAAAGATGAGTTGACCATAGAGTTGAGGGTCCATTTCTGGGCTCTCTGTTCTGTTCCATTGATCTATGTGTCTGTTTTTGTGCCAGTACCATACTGTCTTGATGACGACAGCTTTGTAATAGAGCTGGAAGTCCGGAATTGTGATGCCACCAGCTTTGCTTCTTTTTCAACATTCCTCCGGCTATTCGGGGTCTTTTCTGTTTCCATACAAATTTTAGGATTATTTGTTCCATTTCTTTGAAAAAAGTGGATGGTGTTTTGATGGGGATTGCATTGAATGTGTAGATTGCTCTAGGTAGCATTGACATCTTCACAATATTTGTTCTTCCAATCCATGAGCATGGAATGTTTTTCCATTTCTTTGTGTCTTCCTCAATTTCTTTCATGAGTATTTTATAGTTTTCTAAGTACAGCTTCTTTGTCTCTTTGGTTAGATTTATTCTTAGGTATCTTATGGTTTGGGGTGCAATTTTAAATGGGATCAGCTCCTTAATTTCTCTTTCTTCTGTCTTGTTGTTGGTGTATAGGAATGCCACTGACTTCTGTGCATTGATTTTATATCCTGCCACTTTACTGAATTCCTGTATGAGTTCTAGCAGTTTTGGGGTGGAGTCTTTTGGGTTTTCCACATAAAGTATCATATCATCTGCAAAGAGTGAGAGTTTGACTTCTTCTTTGCCGATTCGGATGCCTTTTATTTCTTTTTGTTTTCTGGTTGCTGTGGCTAGGACTTCTAATGCTGTGTTGAATAGCAGTGGTGATAGTGGACATCCCTGCCACATTCCTGACCTTAGGGGGAAAGCTCTCAGTTTTTCCCCATTGAGAATGATATTCGCTGTGGGTTTTTCATAGATGGCTTTTATGATATTGAGGTATGTACCCTCTATCCCTATACTCTGAAGACTTTTGATCAAGAAAGGATGCTGTACTTTGTCAAATGCTTTTTCTGCATCTATTGAGAGGATCATATGATTGTTGTTCTTTCTTTTGTTAATGTATTGTATCACGTTGATTGATTTGCGGATGTTGAACCAACCTTGCAGTCCAGGGATAAATCCCACTTGGTCGTGGTGAATAATCCTTTTAATGTACTGTTGGATCCTATTGACTGGTATTTTGGTGAGAATTTTTGCATCCATGTTCATCAGGGATATTGGTCTGTAATTCTCCTTTTTGATGGGGTCTTTGTCTGGTTTTGGGATCAAGGTAATGGTGGCCTCATAAAATGAGTTTGGAAGTTTTCCTTCCATTCCTATTTTTTGGAACAGTTTCAGAAGAATAGGTATTAATTCTTCTTGAAATGTTTGGTAGAATTCCCCTAGGAAGCCATCTGGCCCTGGGCTTTTGTTTTTTGGGAGATTTTTGATGACTGCTTCAATTTCCTTTGTGGTTATAGGTCTGTTCAGGTTTTCTATTTCTTCCTGGTTCAGTTTGGTAGTTGATACATCTCTAGAAATGCATCCATTTCTTCCAGGTTATCTAATTTGCTGGCATAGAGTTGCTCATAATATGTTCTTATAATTGTATTTCTTTGGTGTTGGTTGTGATCTCTCCTCTTTCATTCATGATTTTATTGATTTGGGTCATTTCTCTTTTCTTTTTGATAAGCCTGGCCAGGGGTTTATCAATCTTGTTAATTCTTTCAAAGAACCAGCTCCTAGTTTCGTTGATCTGTTCTACTGTTCTTTTAGTTTCTATTTCATTGATTTCTGCTCTGACCTTTATTATTTCTCTTCTCCTACTGGGTTTAGGCTTTATTTGCTATTCTTTCTCCAGCTCCTTTAGGTGTAGGGTTAGGTTGTGTACTTGAGACCTTTCTTGTTTCTTGAGAAAGGCTTGTATTGCTATATACTTTCCTCTTAGGACTGCCTTTGCTGCATCCCAAAGATTTTGAATAGTTGTGTTTTCATTTTCATTGGTTTCCATGAATTTTTTAAATTCTTCTTTAATTTCCTGGTTGACCCACTCATTCTTTAGTAGGATGCTCTTTAGCCTCCATGTATTTGAGTTCTTTCCGACTTTCCTCTTGTGATTGAGTTCTAGTTTCAAAGCATTGTGGTCTGAAAATAGGCAGGGAATGATCCCAATCTTTTGGTACTGGTTGAGACCTGATTTATGACCTAGGATGTGATCGATTCTGGAGAATGTTCCATGGGCACTAGAGAAGAATGTGTATTCCGTTGCTTTGGGATGGAATGTTCTGAATATGTCTGTGAAGTCCATTTGGTCCAGTGTGTCATTTAAAGTCTTTATTTCCTTGTTGATCTTTGCTTAGATGATCTGTCCATTTCAGTGAGGGGGGCGTTAAAGTCCCCCAGTATTATTGTATTGTTGTCGATGTGTTTCTTTGCTTTTGTTATTAATTGCCTTATATAATTGGCTGATCCCATGTTAGGGGCATAGATATTTACAATTGTTAGATCTTCTTGTTGGATAGACCCTTTAAGTAGGATATAGTGTCCTTCCTCATCTCTTATTACAGTCTTTGGTTTAAAATCGAATTTGTCTGATATAAGGATTGCCACCCCAGCTTTCTTTTGGTGTCCATTAGCATGGTAAATGGTTTTCCACCCCCTCACTTTCAATCTGGGGGTGTCTTTGGGTCTAAAATGAGTCTCTTGCAGACAGCATATCGATGGGTCTTGTTTTTTAATCCAGTCTGATAGCCTGTGTCTTTTGATTGGGGCATTTAGCCCATTTACATTCAGGGTAACTATTGAAAGATAGGAATTTAGTGCCATTGTATTGCCTGTAAGGTGACTGTTACTGTATATTGTCTGTGTTCCTTTCTGGTCTATGTTGCTTTTAGGCTCTCTCTTTGCTTAGAGGACCCCTTTCAA